TATTAGATTTTGGTTCTCTTACCGATAATGTCTGTTGTAGGAATCAGAGGGGAGCGCCGTGAGGTCCTTGCTCCCAGGAGATGCCACTTGAAGAGAGGTAAGTACCGCTGGAGAGAGGAACAGGTTGTTGTAGGAGCAGAGAGTGCTGATGCAGGCTGGAGGCTTTGGTTTGTGGAAGGGACACCACCAGAGCGAGTGGAGTCCTTGAAGGGCTGAGGCCTAGGAAGGCCTGTAGAAGACAGGACCAGGAAGTTGAGAGTCAAACAATAATTCTGCTCAGAAAGATAAATGTCTGGAGACAGATTAGAGGCTGTTCATTACCATCTGAAGCATAATGTCCCCGCGCTGAAGGAGTGTCTGGCAGCAGCTTACTCCTGCAGAGCAGTCCTCCAATTCAGGATCAGGTGGTTAGCTGATTAATCTCTGCTGCAGCTGTGGGAAAGTGAATGCTAATCAGGAACCTAGAACTCCCATGGTGTCTCAAACCAATTATTAATGATTTGTATTTCGCTCCGTGCCTCCAGTGAGCCACCCTTGATGTCCTCCTGTTTCCTGCATCCGCTGAGGACCTCGAACTCCTCTGTGCCTCATCAGCTGCCTCCACGCCTTCCTACCATTTGTCTAACACCTGCCATCATCTAGACCGGGGGTCTGCAAACTTTACGATCAAAAGAGCCATTTTTACGCCTTTGTTCACTAAATTAAAAGTGTTCAAAGCCGTAACAATCTGCTACAACTGTGATTATCAACTGGTGGCCCATGGGCCACTTTAGGTTTGATAGAAGGGGCTTTTGTAGCCACTAAAGGTGACATTATAAAGCTAAAAATATCTAATGATTTTTAACATTTATTGATATCTTTACAATTTAAGACAAATGAATAAAAACTATGAAATGTAAAGTAAAGTGAAATGCTATGCGTTGTCATCTGTGCAGACCTATGTAATTTTTTTTAAAGTGTGGAAATATTATTTAAGTATTGAAATAAAGCATAAAGTTAAAGTATGTAGGGTTTTTTTTTGTACTAGTTCCAGTATTCATACAGTATTTGCAAAAGAAATGACAGGAAAACTGTTTGAACGAATCCTTTTTTCTTGTTTGTATAACAACCAATAAAATTCAGTTTTGTTAGTTTTGGTCAAAGCTTGAAAGAGCCGCTGTGGAGGAACCAAAGAGCCACATGTGGCTCCAGAGCCACTGGTTGCAGATCCCTGATCTAGACATACACCTCCTTCACCTGGAACCATTTGCGTCAGCCCTCCCCACACCTGACCCCGACCTCCATCATTTTTTTTTTTCTTAAGAAAACTTAATCAAAAACAAGTACAAGCAAGTATGGCAATTCACAATAGTGTAAATCTAAAAAGGGCATAGTAGAGGCAGACTTTGATATGGGAACATCAAGGGAAAGACTGATTAAAGAACGATAAAGTAAAATTTAAAAAAGAAAAGAAAAAACAACAACAAGGAGGGTATATATTTTAGGATTAGGATTAGCATGCATTAGTTAACATTTCATACAGGTCTTCATATGTTTCAATTAGGTATGCACCATATTATCGGCATGGTATCGGCCAATATTAGCGTTAAAGTTCAATATCGGACATCGGCCATTCCATTAAAATAGCTCGCCGATATAAAAGGTGCTGTCTTTGCCTGCAGCGGCAGCACAACGCGATGATGTTGCAGTGGCAGCGCAACGTGATGACGTCACGTACGACTACCCGATCTCACGGCAGAGAGGAAAATTCAAAATGTCGGCGGTGTGAAAGTTTTATTTTTCGTTGGTGAGGACGTCGGGTTCTGAAGATTTATGGACTATGTTGAGCCTCGCTACATCATCCCCAGTCGGAGATATTTTTCTGACGTAACGTTACCCGAGTTACTAGCCGTCATTTCCGACATCATCAAGAAGCTAATAGCCGATAGCACTTGGGTGAGTTTTACCACAGACATTTGGACGTCGTGTTAGCCCTGTTAGCATGATTAGTCTTAAGGCACAATGGATAGACAAAAACTTTGAAGTTAAAAAGTCTGTCCTTCATGCACAGGAGTGCAGAGGATCCCACACTGCAGCTAGGAACCTGTAACAAGCTGCCACAACTTAGTGAGACAGCATCACAGGTGACTAATGCTAATAAATAACATTTAACCATTTTCATTTACTATAAGTCAAAGTGCTATGCATATCATATGGCTCTTACTGAATATATGTCACCAGCTCTTACAGCTGTTGCACAATTTTTGTGGCAAATAAGCCTAAATAAGTGGGTTATGTTCTGACAAAGGAACACATATAAAATATCGGTATCGGCATCGATTATCGGCCAAATAAGTTTTAACATATCGGCATATCGTATATCGGCCAAAAATCCAATATAATGCATCCCTAGTTTAAATATATTTCATCCATCCATCCATTATCCATCCATTATCTTTACCCGCTTATTCCATTTTGGGGCACGGGGGTCACCGGTGCCCATGTCCAGCAATCACTGTGCGAGGAGCGAGGTACACCCTGGACGGGTCTCCAGTCCATCACAGGGACACTTAGAGACAAACAACCATTCACTCTCTCACTCACACCTAGGGACAATTTAGAGTTACCAATGAGCCTAACATGCATGTTTTTAGTCTGTGGGAGGAAACAGGAGCACCCGGAGAAAACTCACGCATGCACGGAAAGAACATGCAAACTCCACCCAGAAAGGCCCCTGGACAGGGATTTGAACCAAGGACCTGCTTGCTGAGAGGCAGCAGCTCTACCAGTTGTGCCACCGTGCTGCTTCAATATATTTCAGAGGTTTCAAATATAATTGGAATTCATATTAAAAAAATGTTAAAAACTGCAGGTGACCTTGGCAGATCTCTGGAAATAGATTCAGGAAGTGTAATTTTCAGTGTGATCCATCTTTCTAAGTGATTCCAAAATATTTTGGTTTAGTTGCATTCATAGAAGATATGGTCTATTGTTTCTATTTCTTTATCATTGAATGAGCATTTATTATCATCAATATTAAAATGAATTCTTAGTATGTAGCTCTTTGGAGGGGTCAACTGCATTTAACATTTTAAAGAGTGTTTCTTTAGCCTTTGGTTATATGGG